ACGTACGTACGTAGTACGTACGTAACGTACGTACGTACGTAACGTAACGTAACGAGTACGTACGTAGTACGTCGTACGTAGTACGTAGTGAGGAGAATTTTGTGCTCTCTGGTCATCTCCACTGCCGACCCAGGTATCATTCCAAAACATCACTCTGGTCCCCTCGCTAGGGCGAAAGCGAATATAAAGAATAATTCACAACACCTTACGATTGACTTCCAAAAACCACAAGTCTAACTAATGCTTCTGCAAACAGGAATCCATTGTTCGTTACCATGACAATACTTGTGCTTCATGACATCTCTCCCAATCTAGTCTCGTACCTCCACTGCCAATTGCCCAAAATATTATTGTGGACTCGAAAATTGCGAATACCCAAGGTCCCCAGAGACTTGGGAAAACACAGTTTAGGCCAGGGTACAAGATGGAATTTGTGACCATTCTCCCCAGACCAAAAAAAATCTCACATCATATGCTCAACTCTACCAACCACAGAGGCGGGGATTCGAAATAAAGACATACGGAAAACTGACGTGTTGTCTAAGGTGGCTTTGATGAGAGCAAGTCTTCCCACCTTGGATAGGAACCTTCCTTTCCAACCCACGAATATCCAATCAAATTTGTTTATGATGTGGCTCCACTAAAAGAATCGAGGTAAACCCAGGCACAAGGAAGACCAAGATAAGAAGAGGGCAAAGTCTCGATTAAGCAACCCCATCTACTGGCTATGAAATGGACCAAAGAAGGGTCCGTGCACACTCCCATCATCTTGGACTTCGAAAGGTTTGCCTTAAATTTAGTAGCCATCTCAAAACACTTTAGACAGATCAATAAAGTGTCAACATGTTGCACAGAGGAATCACAGAAGACTAGGGTGTCGTCTGCATATTGCAGGTGGGAGATGTAGAGGTCATGGTTGCTAGAACTAAAACCCCTCAGGAGTCCGGCTTGGTAGAACCGCGAGATAGAAGTACTGAAAGCCTCGACCACAATGGCGAACAAAAATTGTGACAAAAGGTGCAATCTAGGCAGGTGCATTAGGCATTTTTGATTCTGGGCGGTGCATAGGCGCTATTGTCTGGGCTCCCACCATGGCGGTGCCCCGTGACAACTTGCAGGCAGCAGAAAAAGCCCTCAGGTGAGGGTAGAATACGCAATTTTTCCCCCCTAAAAAGGGGGGGAAAGGGTTTTAGGGGGTAGTCTAAACCCCCAATAGAAAATCCACGGCTTTTAGGGTGAAATTTAACCCTCAAAAACCACTATTTTGTGATTTATTGAAAGATCGATAAATTTTTTATTTTTTTGATTTCTTCCCAAAACGAATGCAATAGTTCTTGGGTGGATTTGGAGCTTCTAATAGTTGATTTTGAGAACTTTTGGAGACCCAATAGACGAGGTTTGCACCGACTTCGATTTGATTTTGATATTTTTAAAGTATTATCATATTTGAAAGAGGGTTTTGACTTGTGTATGACTGTAGCATTGATTTGTTTCTAGTATGGACTTCTAGTTTCCTACAATGATATTTGGGATTTCAAGCATTTTAATGTCTTACAATCTCTTTGAGACTTGTATGATTGTTTCATCCATCAATATGTTATGTGATTGTACTCATTGTAGTATTGTATTGTTGTACTACTATGTTTTTGTCTATTTCATGATCACGAGGAGTTTGGGGCTCTAAAATTGTCCTAAAAACTCCCTACGGCTATAAACCATGCCCTAAGAACTCCCCTATTTTTTATATTTGGGGTGGGGGATTTGATTTTGGTGAGGGCACCCTATCCCTGAGTGCCCGCCTAGGCGGCCAGGCACCCAAACATCCTAGGTGCCCGAATCCATGTTTTTGAACATTGATCAAACCAATACCATCCCCCTAACACGCCCTTCATGTTCTATGTTCATGTCACGTGGCTATGCCTATGAAGATTTTTACTCCTCAAAGTCTTGCTTTATGTTGGTGTGAATAAATGTGGGTTCCAGTAATTTAATTATTTACAGTTTGGTAGACACTTATGCACAGTAGTTCTTCAAGCTACTTTCTAACAACTAGGAGAATAAGGAGAAACGTCAAGTGTCATCAGATGCAAACACAAAGAGCTTGTCATTTTCTTTCTATCCAAATGCATAAAGAATCATATGATTTCCTATCAATCACATGCATTTTCCCCAGCAATTAGCTATCAAAGAAAACAAAAAAGAAGAGTAACTTGCAACCGTAATTAGGTGAAAGATGAAAAGCTTTTACATGTTACACGAGGCGAAAGTTATTTTAAACATCAATCTTCATATCCCAGCCAAAAAATTATCCTTGGCCTGTCTTTCACATCTGTTCCTTTTATGGTGAGACATTTCATGAAAGATGCAAAACAGATTTCACTGTCTACGGCCTCCTCGTGCTTGATTCACTCCATCTGCTAGCTTTTAAATATCAGTTCAGGTCGGCTCTAGCCCCCCCGCCCCTCCCCCATGGCCAACAAATAAATCGTGCTAAAACAAGATCAAGAATCCAAAAAAATATAGCCCTTTTGTCATAAATCCCTTTCATATGACATAGCACCAAAAAACACTGAATAAGGTATACAATACCTTTACATGAGTGTGAAGGACTCAGCTGCGGAAAAGGTAGAAAGCCCATTAATGAATAGAACCGAATGAGTAAACCACCAGTATTAACGCCTTCAACCCTTCCCTCATAGATAACACCACTTTCTTTATAAGCCCTTGCCGCTTTCCAATCAGCAGATTTCTACTACTTCACAAAACACAAGTATAAGATCATCAGACAGCATAAGAAGATATTACATTAAATTCTGAATACAAAATTGCAAAACAGAGACCATAACATGAAAAAGGTAGACGGTACACAATCAGGTTAGAAAAAGGCAACCAGGTTAGAACAAAAGAATGAAATTCAACTGGCAACACAAATGGATTGTTCGTTAAGTAGATGGTATGTAGCTTGACTTAACAATGAGAGTAGAGCTAATAAAGTAGAACGCTGAGAACTGTGATTATAACAAGATCAACAATTCTCCTTCAAATTATTCAACCCATACATTCAAAAGAATCAACATCAACTCAAACATCCAAAATTTCATACTTAAAGAACAAAATGAAAATGGAGCAAAATGAACAAATTAATTCTTTTCAAATTTATAGTGACAACATCACAACAATTCTGAATTCCATCAGACATGAAATTCTCATCGGACATTTGATAATTTATTGACGAAACAGCAGTGATAAATCATTGACAGCCACAGAAGAACCATTAAAAATTAAACAGTCTGAAGCATATAGGTGTGTTGAAGATTATGCCACATGCATAACCGCAGAGCAGAGATCACAAATCAAATATCAATAACAGAGTCAAGTGTCCCGAGGTCAAGAAGTTGATTGATGGAAATTTCATCTACATTTTGGAATTTGGAGAGCATGAAAAGAGCAAGAACGGTAGTGATCTTTTGACAAATCCTTCACCCTCTCAAAAGTAATTTCTAGATACTTTAAATCCCACGACACCGACCCCTTTCAAGGTGAAATCACTAAGAATGGCTCTAAAGACACTCACCATGGATTGTGCTTATCACCAACAGAGTATAACTTGTTACAAACCCCAAGGAAGAGCCACTCATTGTGAATCCTATCCCATAGAACAAAGACACATATATCCTCTTGACACTTTTTCACCCAAATGATTCAAAAACCTTGTTTAAATCAAGTTGCACCAAATGGTGTAGACAAACGCCGACATGAGAAAAAAGAGAGGGGAAGAGACAAAGAGGAGTTACAGAGTAAAGGGCTAAAGAACTGCAGGCCGAAGAGTAAGTGAGGCGATTGAGAAAGGAAAGAGAAAGGCATACCCTGAGCTGGCGAAGGGCATCCGAAGGCGGAGGATGACGACCATCGTCCTCGTCCTCTAATAACTCCAACCCTTCTTCTGCTTTGGCACCACTACGCACCACCACAGTAGAAGTACCACAAAGAGATGAAAACTGCTTCTTATGGTTATCATTGTTAATGCTGCTGCCAAAAACCAACACAGTATTTGGAGAAGAAGAGGAGGAGGAGCGAGAGACGGGAACGAAAGTGGAACAGAAGAAAGGGTTATTAGCTGAGAAAGAGAAGACGCTGCTCATGGCCGCTACAGGATGCATGGCCAGTTTGTCTTTCTTATTTGCAGTTTCTTTATTTCAAAACCGTTGACTGTAATCGAATCTCATCCGCAACCAAAAAGAAAGTAGATAAATGTGAGGAGCATGAATCTTTTGCCAATGAGATGGATAATTGAGGCATTTATTTATTCATCAATGAGAATAGAGGAGAGGGGGACAGAGAGCCACGTTATCGCACGTTGCCTATGTCAGCCAGTCTCCCTCTGAAACACGATTTTTTTAAAAAAATTATCTGATTTTTCGAAATAAGAACTCTCAATCTTTCAAAAGATCTTCAAAAATTTACTCACATAAACCTGTATTTTATTTTTTAAAAAATAAATTTTCAAAAGAACTTCATCCCTATAAATTTATTTCTTCATTATTGAATTTTAGTTTAAAGATAAGCAAATTAAATTAAAAATCTTAATTTAACAAAGAATTCCATCAAAAATTTCACCAATAAATTCCCTTAAAAAAAAAAAATGTACCGAAAGTACAAGCAATGTATTCCTTAAAAACTAAAATATCAAAATAATTGTATAGTTAGACAAATTACAAATAACAATAATAGAAATAAATCACTGACACCTAAACTATATCCAAACTTACCATAAAATACATGATAGTATATTTACCCTCCCCAAATATATTGATTACAATATACACATTCCATATTCATCGGATAGATATAGAAACTTCCTTTCATACTCCCTCTCAAACTCATACTATGAGATAGAGCAATTGGGGTTTGAGCACTAAGGGGCCGTTTGGATACCTGGAAATAAATTGTCTGTGAAATATATGGTGGCGTAATACATTGCCTATAAATAGATTGTTACTGTTTGGGTAGTATTTAGATGCAACTTGAGAAATACATTGTTATTGTTTGGCTATTTCTTGAAGAAATATAGAAAATGCATTATCAACATTTTACCAGCACGTGCCTATAAATTTATCATTTTTTTCTTTTTTGTCACAAAATTTCATTAAAATGCAGAATTATCATTTATTTCTTTTTTGTCGCAAAACTCCACTAAAATACGGAATTAAAATCATCATCACACCATTCCAAAAAGAATTCTAACAATAACATCATCACAATTCCAAAAAAAAATTCTAATAATAACTTATACCATTTTACAGTCATCATGACACCATTTTATACTTATTTGACATGTCTTTGGTACTTACATGGAATCACATGTCTTCTAACGTGACATTAGTTTCAACATGATAAGTCATTGGAACAATATGATTGGAATAACATGATTTTATTTTGATAAGCCTTATTTTTATTTATTTTTTATAGAAGTCTTTCAAATGTCTCTCTATATAATTTCAAATAAACAATAAATTTATGATACTAAATTCAAAATCTCTATGGTACAAGTTAAAAAATGGGAAGAAGTTTGATTAGTAAACTAGAAGGTTTGGTAATTGAGTATAAAATTTTGAGATATTAGAAGAAACTAAAGATGTATGTTATTTCAATTGAGATTTTAGTAATCTCTTATGAGGATTATGTTGTGTGAAATTTTTTATTATGATTGTGTTGTGTAATTTATCATTGATTACTGATTTTTATTATTATTAGGTTATTTTTATATCACAGTTGATGTAGGGGAGAAGCTTAAAAAGGGAGGGATCACATGTGCTAGTTATTATGAAGAGGGAGGGCCTACTACATAAGATACTTTTAATTAGGGATACATAGGCAAAAACACAAGCGAATAGTTTTTCGAAATTACCTGTCATGTGTAATAGATTTTTCAACTATCGACTTTTAATTAAGGATACATAGGCAAAAACACACGCGAAAAGTTTTTCGAAATTACCTGTCATGTGTAATAGATTTTTCACCTACCGCGTCTAATGGATTTTCTGATTTTTGGGAAAATCTCTAGTAATCTCTTTCCATTTCCTTACTACTAAGTGTATCATTGGAAATGTCATATTTCCTTATAATCTATTGTCACCTAAGAGTTTTCCAGGTATCCAAACGGCTCCTAATTCTGAAAACGAGCAAACCAATAGATGCAGTGATTATCGTATACTCAAATTACTTGATCAACAAGCACAAAAAATAGCAGTGGCTCAACAAGCATATGGCCTCAGAACTCATAGCCATATCAGAATGGGCTTGAAAACTCGGATAAAAATCAACTAAGAGAACATAATGGCTCTTGGAATAGCCAAGAGAACTCAGTGTGGATCTGAAACGGATTTAACAGCTCGTAGACTAGAACAGACATGATCGAGTAACATGACAACAAACTTAATCAAACAACACGAGGATGAACTCATAAAATCTTTTTTTTTTTTTTTTGCAAGACCAAATGAACAAAGAGGACCACCATGAAATAATGTGGACCACCAATATTCAAAAGACCTACTTTACAAATCCTGAGACCACTATGCACCGAAACTTAAAAAAAAAAACTGAAGCTCAACAGTTCTTATCTCTCTCACTAAAATACAAGTGCGAAATAGAGAAACAGGGAATGAGAGAGAAACAGGAGACATAGAGTTTGTGTGTTTTCCATAACGGCTTCAGAAGCAAGGGGCTCGGGAAACGGTGGTTTCAGAAGAGAAACCAGTGCAGAGAGCCGTGGTTTGCCCGCGAAAATAATATCAGCAACGAATCACAGTTTTTATCAGAAGCAAAACGTTTTTTAAAGCAGTTTAGCGTTACCAAAAGTGGTATACCATCGCACAAAAGCGGTTTTCAGTCAAGTGGGGAAGTAAAAGATCTAACACAACTCGTTTTGACAGATCTAACCGAGGTGAAGGCATGTTAGAGTACACAGCAACAAATAGAGTCGGTGGTGGTGAGCAATCATCCAAGCTGCTTATCGATCGACAGGCATAGGTAGCAGGTGGGGTTAATCGAAATAAACTTGTTGTAGATGACGGACCATTACTTTTCTAAATGGTTGTATGGCACTTGCATATGGGGTCAAGACCCCAATTTGTGTTGCATATTGGCTTAGAACTGCAAAAGGGGCAGCTGAATGTTCACAAATGTGAGCTTCAGAGATGCAGGCAGCTCTGGATACGGCTCGAGTGGAACTTACCTCTTTGCGTACGAGTGTAAAACGGTGCACTCTAAGAGAGACGGGAAAAAGGTGAAGGTGTGCAGCCCTCAAGTAAATACAATTGCAGATGAGTCGTCGAAATGTTATGGTGATGGGCTCTCAAACATAGACGGCTCGAGGAAAGGCATGTGAATCCAACTAAAATCTTGGTTCACAATGGGAGGCCCAAGACATCAAATAAATCATAGAGTCGAAACACGATTTGGTAGAGTGATAGATAGTCGAAATACAACTCAACAGAAATTACGCCGATTGGGTGACCAAAAACTCGTCTTCAAAATCAGCAACAAAGCTTCAAGGACTAGGAATGAACAAAACGAAAAAACAACCTCCCTCTATACCAGTCTCAAGTTTCTCCGAAGAGACTCAATGTCCATTAACGTATGAAAGTACGGAATTATCTTTTATAAACAAATTACATATCGCAATAATAGAAATAAATCACATTCAAATATACTAAAGATGTAGGCAACTAGGGATTCAATGTGAGATTTGAGTTTGCTTAAGCATTTTGTTGCATTTTTTATCCATAAAGAAGTTTGATCAATTTCATATTTTTATTTTTATTTTTTATTTCATTGGTATATATAGCATAGCATTTTGAATGGACCACTATTTTACATATTTGGATTTTGTATTTTATTTTAATTGACTACAATCCTATACTCATGGTCTTTTTTTATTTTTTATTTATGAACAATAATCATATACCTTGGTTTTCAGTCTTTGGTCTTAGTTTTATCATTGTTGTTCTTTTATTTTATGCTCCCAATAAATATATTGTAGTTTTTGGTGTGACAATAGAATAAGCATTGTTGTTGGATTTATTGAGAGTTTCAACAAAAAATTATCCAATATTACTCTAATAACACTAAGTAAGGCCATCAAACTATTGTTCAGTGGCTTTAATGTATCTATGCAATAACTGCAAATCATAATCCACTATTGTGTTATTTTTATATATCTGATTTTTTTCACTCCATTTGTTTTTAGCCAAGTCCAAAATAATAACATTTCTATAACTTGCCTTATTTTTGGGTGATCCGTATTTTTTACCAGAGTTTTTCCTCCAAAATTTTAAAATAAAACTGATTTTATTACCATTGTTTTGGTTTGCTGATATATTATTATTCTTTGACTTGCTAACTATGTCAGGGACGAGTCAGCCAAACGCATGCTAGTGCAGGCCGCCTATGCACAAGAGGCAAGTAGCACACACACAAGTACACAAGAGAGAGGAACACTATAGAATAAGAAGAGTGTTATGTTCACTAAAACTCAAATGCTTACAACTTTATGACGTACCTCTTAAATTAGGGGGTCCTCCTCCTCATATAAGCATCACGACTTACTTAACAATCACAACATTTACAAGTGTCACTAATCATACATTGTGCTAGAGATTGCTTTCCAACCCTGTACTCAAGAAAAATCTAGAAACCTTATGGACCTCCCATGTATTCTATAAAGTTTGCTTGTGAAATATGTGGCTATGTCGAATTTAAGACTAAAATTAAATTTTTGTTTTATTTTTTATTTATTTTATTTATTAATTAATCCAAATTCTACTTACAAGTGCCTAGCAATACAATTGTAAACAAATATAATTATATTATATATTATTATTATTATTATTATTATTATTATTATTATTATTATATATTAAGCGAGTGGTAGTCTATTTATTATTTTGACAAAGGTCCTTTTTACTTCTTTATTTACCTTTTTAGTTTTTTAATAATTCCCACTTTGTCATTTCATCCCACTATGTCATTTCGTCAGTTAAAGAGAGTTTATCATTTCCCATAAAAGCCTTTACTACAATATATACATTTATGATTAAAGCATTTTATTATTTCTCATTTGCAAAGCATTTGTAGTAAAACGTTTATCCTTATGTCATTCATTTGTTTGAATAAACTTGTAGCAAATGCTTACTGCAATATGAACATTTCACATCTCTCTATCTCCTAGTATCTCTCATAAGTTTTACATATTTTTCTTATTTGCACTCTCTCACTCAAACACACACAAA